TTTGAATCGTTGTCTCGAGAAGCTCATGAATTGCTGTCGTGTCATTCGCCTCGTCGTCTCTCAGGTGAGGGCGATGTGTTTCCTTGATTCTCGTTTTCCATTCTTTTCAAATTTTGTCTTTTGCTCTCTCCCCCTCATCCCCCCACCCCACTCTACCCCCTCTCACCCGTCTCTCTCGCCTACGCTTCGTCTTTCTCTCGTCTCTCCTTTATGCTTTCTCCCTCTCATTGCTCTTTTATCTGAATTTCGCTCACTCTTTTCTTCTTGCGTCTCCCTTTCCACTCCCGGCTCGTTATTTCCTCCCTTTCCCTTTTCTCTAACTCACACGCCGTCTCTTCTTTCCTATATTCCTTCATGTGGCCTGTCTTCTCCTTTATTCTTCTCTTCCTTCCTCCCCTCCCTCCTCCTTCCCTCCTCCCCTCCCTCCTCCTTCCTCCCCTCCCTCCTCCTTCCCTCCTCCCCTCCCTCCTCCTTCCCTCCTCCCCTCCCTCCTGCTCCCCGCTTTTGTCCGTGGTTTGCAGTCGTCCGCGTCACTTTATAGAAATCTTTTCTCTCTTTGCCATGGCAGTTAATGACAGCTCTAAGCGGATAAATTGCTCTATCAATTGAAGTCCGCTCGATGGCTTGGCGGTCCCTGGCGAGAGGGAAGCTGAAGGTTCTTGAAGGGCGCGCGGGGCCGTGTGTGCCAGGGATTTCGCGGGACATTTGTATCTTGTCGATTATGAATCAGCGGCGAGGGAGGGAAGGGGGGGCGGCATTGTGCTGCGTCCGAGTGGATTGCATGACGGAGCTTGAGAGCAAAATGGATGCCAAGTGATGGATAAATGCAGACAAGCTTGTAAGATGGATACACGAAAAATGAGTGTCTCTGTTACTAATGGTTAAGTAATCATGAAATTATTATATGGGCTCAGTTATTTGAACAGTTTTTTTTCTCTGCCTTTCGCACAACATGGGCTTCGTTAGCGTTGGGGACGTTTTATTTTGAGCGACCCTCTTAAAAAAAAAATGGACGAATATCCATTGCCCTTTTCAGTCCCGCGATTCTCCGAAAGCTCATTTAAGACGAGGATTTCGTCGCGGTGTTCCAACTCGCCAGGCTTGTTTGTCGTCGGCCCCGCGCGCTCGTCCCGCCATCAGACCCGCGAACGGAAGGGCGTAACGACCACTTCCCTCTCGCTTATCGCCTCCCACTTCGGTCCCTTTGAATGGAGTCGCGACGCAGACGGAGAGCAGGTGGCGACGGACCGACGGACGCGCGAGGCAAAAGGAAGGGCGCGTTTGGACCGGTCGGATGGGAAACGTTGCCTGCGTTTATTGCTTGGTATTTTTGTTGTTCGACTTTTGTTTCCTTTGCTCAGAACGTTTGCTTCTGGAGTAAATTTCTAACAGTTGTTGGAGGGGGAGGGGGAGGGGAAGGAAGGGGGGGAGTGGTGACTCACGCGCCTCGAGGGGCTTCCGCGGCTGGCGAGGAAAGAGAGTACCGACGCGGGCGCCAAGTACCTCCCAGATCATGTGGTGTCGACGTAAAGAGAGAGAGAGAGCTAAAGAGAGAGAGAGAGAGAGAGAGAGAGAGAGAGAGAGAGAGAGAGAGAGAGAGAGAGAGAGAGAGAGAGGTGGGGAGTGGGGAGGGGAAGGCTCTCCTCTCCTCTCTCTCTCTCTTCCTTCCCTCCTTCCTTCCTTCCTTTAATTCCTTAATTCCTTTATCCCGCCTCTTTTGTCTGGTTTTGTTTGTATGTAGATGTATGTTTATGCATACGTGTTTATACATACTGTACACTAGTACAGTATTACAGAGAATGACAGTGAGAGAGAGAGAAAGAGAGAAAGAATGAGAGAGAGAAAAAAATGGCCCTTCCCTCCCTCCCTCCAGTCTCTTCCCTCCCCCTCCCTCCCCTCCCGTGCTGCAACCTCGCTATAAATAATCCACTGTTTAACTCGATCTCTCTTGGCTAGGGAAGGCGAGGGGAGTATCTGCTCGTCGTGTTGGGATTTCTTTTTCTCTGCGTTTTTTTTTTTTTTTTTTTTTTTTTTTTTTTTTTTTTTTTTCTCCAAGATTTCTTCCTATTTTCTTTCCTTCCGCCTTCCTCTTGTCTTCTGTTCCCCTTCCTCCTTTCGCCTCTGTTCTCCTCTCATTCCTTTATATTTTACACATACGCGCACACACACACACACACACACACACACACACACACACACACACACACACACACACACACACACACACAAACACACTTAACACTCAGAATTTATACAGAAGTTGCTAATTTGGGCCTAATATGCGTATTCCAGATTTTTTTTCTAATTGCATCTAAATTTTATGGTCATGTGGGAATAGAATATTTTATTTACGCTGTTGTAAGATGTTTACCGGTGGTGCTGGACCGTTTGACTGTTTGTTGCTGCTAAAGGGTTTTTGTTTTGGTTTTCCGCCTTTCCCATCACGCCCTCGTTCTGTTTACAGTTGGTGGCTCCAAAATAGGGAGGGAACGGCTCGAGGAATAGACAGGCTTAGACAGACAGGCAGGCAAACAGACACAGAGACAAACAGGTGGACGTAGAGGAATAGAGAAAATAGATTTAAAAACAGGGAGTGGATCTAAATAGTAAGCAAAGATGATGTAATAAGGTAGACAGGCAACCAGGCTGATAGAGATAGACATACAGACAAACGGACAAACAAAGAGATTAGGGAGAATAAATTATTCATAACCTAAAGCGGATCTGAACAATAAACAGTAATAAGGTAGACAGAATCACAGACAGACACATACACACACACAATAGATAGAAATAACAAACCCTTTAAAACCTGAAATTGATCTAAATGATGGGCTGATATGGTATACAGACAGAAAGACTGACAGAGACATACAGAGAGAGAACAGCGGGGAAAAATAAGACCTTTGACTTTGACGTCATTCAGAGTCAAGAGTAAACTCCCACTGCCCTCTCCTCTCCCCTGCTCTCGCCCCCTCTCCTCCCCTTCCCTCCCCTCTCCTCCCTCTCCTCCTCCTCCGCTCTCCTCCCCTCTCCTCCCCTCTCCTCCCCTCTCCTCCCCCTCTCCTTCTCTCTCCCGCCTTCCCCTCCCCCCGCCTCTCCTCTCCCCTTCTCTCCCTCCCTCTCCTCTGCTCTCCTCTCCTCCCGTCCCCCGCCTTCCCCTCCCCTGCTCTCCTCCCCTCTCCTCTCTCTGTCCGCCCTGCCCCCACCCCTCCCCCTGGCTCCACTCGTGACTTGGTAGACAGCACACATTTTCTGTGCTAACTTCGTGTGCATTTTTGTTGGTTGGTGACTGTGTTTTGCTTATTAATCATGGCCATTTTAGGTCTGTTTCTCTCTCTCTCTTTCTCTCTCTCTCTCTTTCTCTCTTTCTCTCTCTCTTTCTTTCTCTCTCTCTTTCTTTCTCTCTTTCTTTCTCTCTCTCTTTCTCTCTCTCTTTCTCTCTCTCTCTTTCTCTCTCTCTGTCTCTCTCCTCTCTCTTTCTCTCTCTCTCTCTCTCTCTCTCTCTCTCTCTCTCTCTCTCTCTCTCTCTCTCTTTCTCTCTCTCTCTTCTCTCTCTCTCTCTCTCTCTCTCTCTCTCTCTCTCTCTCTCTCTCTCTCTCTCTCTCTCTCTCTCTCTCTCTCTCTCTCAATTCTTTTCTGTGTGTATGTGGTTTTGTTTGTATGTAGATATGTTTGTGTGTTTATGCGACCGTGTTTATACATACTCTACATTGTAATAAAGGCATTTGCATTGTATTACAAACACACTGTTGCGCACATACCGCACGAACTATCACATTCATATACTCTCATACATACGTACAGTGTACAGCACGCTTAGTGTATTTACTAATTTATTGTGATAAACACACGCTGTTGTGCACATAGCATCACACATACACGAACATACATACACATTTGAGAGAGAAAATGAGCGAGCGAGTGCAAGGACAACTTGAGTATGTTTGCACCGGCCCGTATATGCAATGCCACTGAGAGGCTCTTCAGACGGTCAACAGATGGCAGCACACTCAACTGCAGAGTTACGACGCACTATTTGAGTTCCTTTTCTTTCAAGCATTTGTATTTGTAACTGGGAAAATAGCATAGAACTGCCATACTATTTCCTTTTGTGCGAGTTTTCACAAGCATTGAGAGACGAAAACGAAGCAGGGCGTTGTTAGCGCGAGAGGCGAGGCGGCGAGCCTTCCGCCCCGCAACAAGCAGGCACCCGCGCCGCTGCTGGCACTAGCGCCGTGCGCCGCGATCCAGCCCTGGTGGCACCCCCTTCGCCCTGCTGTGGGCTCGTGCTTGGACAAGCAGTTGTGGGAAATCTGGGCCTTGTTGTGGTAAGGAGAGGACGCGACGAATGGTGCAGTGTGCGGAGAGAGTGGGGAGCGGTTTGCATGTGACGCATTTGTGATGATTGCACCCAGTGACCCCGTCGCTCCTGTCAGTGGTGCTTTCCATATTTAGAGGGAAGTGTTCGGGGTACGCTGCGCCCCTCGGGCGGTTGTTGCTTGTGGGTAATGCATAGAAATGTGTGTGTGTGAGTCTGTGAGTCTGTGTGTGTGTGTGTGTATGTATGTATGTGTGTGCGTGTGCGCGCGAGTGCGTGCGAGTGCGTGCGTGTGCGTGTCCTTGCATATGTTTGTTTACTTGTATGCATGCTTTTGCGTATGGAATTTCCCCGCGTAATTTCCCTGGGGAATTCATATATTGCATATTTGATGGCGGTTGTATTTGCCTTGAATCCCTGTGAAAAGAATTCAGTGGCGTTACCGCTTGCCGCGTATGAATTACGACCGTCAACGGGCAGAGGCCTCCCCCCCCCCCTCTCCGGGCGCGCGAAGCTTCCGCTGAGCGCTGCCTGGGATGGGCGTGGGTTGAGCGCCGCTTCCCATTAACGAGGTTCTTCGGCACTCAGTCCGGCGCTGATGCGTTCGGAAACGTAATTTTCAGTATTTTCATTTTTCGCATTGTAGACTTTTTCCTTACGGTTCTCGTTTTCCTTGCAGTCATCTACGGATACCCGGTGGTCGTGGCTGACCAGCAGCAGCAGCAGCAGCAACTACACCAGCAGCAGCAACAGCAACGGAACTACAGCAAGAGAAAGAAGAAGAAATACCAGCGCCGCCGCCAGGCCGAGTCCGCATCTGTGAGTGTCGTGAACCGCTTCTTCGTCCTTGACATTTCGCTCTGCTGAACACCTGTTATTAGTGAGCGTCATTTGCGTTTCTCCTTCGGGTTTATATTACAGTCGTGTTTCTCGTTTGCAGGGAGGCTACCTGGACCCCCACCTATACACGGGGGAGCCCTTCGTGGCCACGCCCGGCGGATACGTGGTGCCTCTGGACCCCGCTTCCGTGTGCCACGTGCACGGCCTTCCGTACGTGCCACAGCCCTTCCCCGCCCAAGCGCCCCTGCCCCACCAGGCGCACGACGAGGGCTTCGTGTCCGTGCAGCACTCGCCGTACCTTCCCGAGGCCGTGCCTCCTCCGGGGGGCGAGCAGGCGCAGCAGCCGGGCGGAACGAGCGGCGACGACGTCTCCAAGACGGTCTTCAGCGACCTGCAGGATACGGAGCGGCGACAGATCCAAGAAATCCTGCAGGATCGGGCGAAGGTCGGGAAGTCGGACTCGACCGAATCCTCCGACTCCGGGGTTTCGGAGTCCGAGGAAACGGCGGCCACTGAGCTGTCCTCGGACGAGCTAGAGGCCCGCGACCGGAGGACCTCGCGCGAGCAGGGCACGGCGGCCGAGCAGGGCGACCCTGCCGGCGAGGAGGCAGCGGCGGCGAGGCTAGAGCTTCAGTCCCCTGAGGAGACCTCTCGCGATGAAGCGGCAGGAGAGGCTTCTCCGGACGCCAGTCAGTTTCAGGAAACTTTAAAAAACGGAACATGTATTAATGCTCAACTTGATTTACCAGAAGTTTCATCGCCCGACGATACCCTTTCAGTAACAGCAGAAACTACCGCAGAAACTGTTTCGTTAACGGCGAGCGACGACAGCAGCCCGAAGGTTGCGGAACAGTGTGATGCAAGCGGCGCTGAGGAGCTGCTCTCACAAACTCCTGTGAGCTGTGAAGATGTGAGTGACGTCTGCAGAAGTACGCCAGTGCCGGCGCCGGTAACTGAAATCACTGACGCTGAAAGTTGCACAACGTTGGCGCTCGCTGACAGTGCAGCGTTAGAAAGTGTTTGTGCAAGTCCTGTGTCCGGTGCGGAGTCTGAAGTTACTGAAAAGGAGGAGGAAAATAATTGTGGCTCGAGTACCGATGTCGACGTTCAGAGTTCCAAAATTAGTTTTACAGAATCAAATGATATTTTTGACAGCGCTGATGCTCACAAAATAGGCGAAAATCATAAATGTTCAGAATTGATAGAGGAAAAAGATAAAGTAACTACTACAGAGAAATCCTTAGAATTAGCCACAGAAGATTCAGCAGATGGTGAAGTACACTGTAAGAGCACTGCAGAAGTCTCATTCAGTAATGAAACTAGTGATGTCTGTGTCGAAAGCAATGTCGAGTCAGTTTGTGATTTTTTAACTAAGGGTGCTGAGGCTAACCTTAAGTGTCAGGGTGAGGTGGCAGTCAGCAGTGAGCCTGACATCCAATGTTCTAAGATTTCTGCTCAGGAGTTGGAAATTGCTCAAGACTGTCCTGTTGTTCCAGGAAACACAAATCTATGCGATATTAGTGTTGACTCGAGAACAGAAGGTGCTGTGAATGACGGAGGGACTAGAGAGAGCAGTATAGATCGCGATAGTTTAAAAGATTTGAAGGTGACTGAAGCTGTGAAGAGGTGGATTAGGGAAGTCACTCCTGAGAAGGCTTTCACCCTCTCCGAGGAGGTGCAGAGCCTCCTCCTGGCCGACCAAGAGCTCGACGACGAGCTGGACACAGAGGACGAGTACATTGAAGACGAGATCTCAGAGGAAGCAAAAGCAATTGTTATGGATCCAAAAAACGTGGAAGGCAACCCTTTTGTTGCAGACTCCAGTGATGCCCTGAAATCGGACATGGAGCGCTGCAGCAAAAGGGTTGCTTCTTGCAGCAGGTCAAGGGGGGCCACTCCCGAGACTTTTGACGAGTACGATGGCGCCAGCACCATCAGTAACCTCAGCTTCGACCGCCTGTATTCCGAGGCATCGTCCAGCCGCCCGGCCTCTACCAATCATAGCTTTGACGAAGAGGAGATCGAGAAATATTCTGGAAACCCTGAAATCTACAACCCAGTAGCATATGCAAAATACTACCAGCTAGGCATTGAGGTTGACGAGACCACCCCTGTCGCCACGCCCCTTCCGGGAAGCGCCAGCAGGACCCGAGAGGCAACTCCGGCGGCCGAGGCTCACTCGGAAGCCGGAAGTGACTGCGGGTCTGAGGAGGTGGAGACCGTTCCCCACAAGTACGACGTGGCCCAGCAGCACTCGGAGGCGCCCCCGATGTCCCTCGCCACGGAGATCCTGAAGGCAGAGAAGCTGCTGAACAACATGGCTCATATTACCGGTACTCCACACGAGGCGGCAGCAGCGGAAGAGCGCTTCGGGAATCCAGATATTTTTCTTAAGCATTTCAGAACAGGCCTACACGGTGAAGTAGGGGACAGTGGAGTCCAGTCAGAGGAGAGCAGTGATGAAACTGAAGCTCGGAGTACTGTTGGCAGCAGTGGTGTTGGCTCATCACTCGCCTCCACACCAGCCATTTCCCCAGCACACCACACCAGTGGCAGGCCGCCCCTCCAGCCGCACCCACTGAAAAACCTGAGTGTTGGAGAGGGTCCTGTGCCCTGCAGGACAGTTTGCTGTGCTGTCATGTGAGCATCCTACGGTGTATACTGTGGGTTTTGTTCCATCATATTAACCCTGTGGCTTGGAAGGCAGGCAAAGGGGGCACTTCTCCCGCCTCCGCCCGCTTGTGCCTTACAGGGAGACTCCTGGGTGGGGGACTACCCAGACACTGAGGGTACAACGCTTAAACTGCTGTGAACTGCGGCCCCGTGGGTCACATGCTCACTTGTAATCTGTAGGTGCACATTACTGTGAAAAAGACAGTGTGTGTGCGCAAATGTGTGTGTGTGTGTACGTTGGACGTAAATCGAGTAGTGAGTCCGTGCAAGGTTGCTGTAGGATAGAGTCATCGAGTCACGCAAGAGCCGTGCTTTTGGTGCTATGGTCAGTGGGGTCCAGAGCCCTCATGGCCTCACATGGGTTGCACTGCACTTGAAGCCTGTAGGCCTGTTAGGGGTCGTTGCCCACGCCCCCGCAACCACTTTCGCCTCCATAAGGTGTCGTTGCACCTGCAGGTGTGTGGGCGTGAGATTGAGTCACATCACCCAGAATCGCTTCATTCTCATGCAATGTCATTGTGATAGGTATAGTGAACCCTATAGATAGCTGTTATTTATTTTTAGACATGTGATGTTTTAGTCGTTATTATAGAGATGTTATACCCTTGTGCATTTAGATGTCATTTGGGTAGTGTTTATAGTAGGTATCATATTTTGTTGCAAAAGAGCATAGTTGTAGGTGGGCCAGGTGCCCCACATGGGTACACAGGCTGGGACAACATGGGACTTGTTCAAGAGAGTGTGGACCTGATCCAAATATATCAGTGTTATGGTCTCCCTTGACAGATTTTTTTCCTCATCACTAAAATTCATAACCATGTCCTCAGAGAGAAATTTACTGTTATGTTCCCCCAAGCCTAGCTACCCATCATCCTTTTATGTTGTTAGAAGAGCTGCTTCTTAAGACTGCAGCTTCCACATCACCTTCGACGCCTGTTTTGTTGCAACTGTTGGATGTCAACGGAGACCCATTGCTGCATAACGTTAAGTTGCTTAGTGCACAGCAATAGTTTGACTATGCACGTCACTTGATCTGTTATGGTTATTATTAAAGGGTAATATTGTAACTAATAGTCTCCCATGGATTAGAGAGAGAGAAGCTTGATTATTGTTAAACAACGAATTGTGCGAAATGGTTGTTTGTGTAAGGCATAGCGAGTTTGAGTTGTTGTTTGTTATAGCCTATATACAATGGAACTGAAGTTCACCTATTTTTGCTGATACCTGTTTCCAGGTTTTTACCTCTTGTTGTACGGTAAATGAATTGCTGACCAAAATGCACTCTTGTTTGCATATCTTCAGCCTTTGTGAGCAATGGACTTTGATCCTTTTGCCTCTGTGACTTAAGACTGTGGCAGCTTAAATGAAGTACCTTGGCTGTGTTAAAGATGTTATTTCATAATTACAAATCATAATTTCCATTATTTTTCCCAGAGATAAACCAGAGACCAACAATTTCGTTGTTTGTCAATTTCCACTGATGCCATGTTACTTATATATTCCATAGACAAGAAATGGCTGCACCCTCTATGGTACCGCCAAGGATGTTGGATTGTTATTTTCTTTTTGTAAATATAGATTCAATAAAAAATTGTTGTATTTACATGTTCATTTATTGCACCCATGTGATATAAACTCAACATCAGATTGCACCATCAGACTCCATTGTGTATTTTACATCGACATACTTTTTTGGATACGAAAGATTGCATATAAATTGCATTAGACAAATTTTCCTAAAGGTGCATATTTCCCCCACAGAAGAAAAAAAAATGGACGTTCGATCTTTATTTCTTGTAACATATATTCTCTTATCACTCGCTTTCTCCCGCAGCGGATGGTAGTGATATTAATAAGATGATTTTTACCGTGAACAGTACGCAATTGAATTTGTATAGCCTTCCTCTTACTGCATTTCCCTTTGTTCTTCGTTCACCATGTAAACACGAATACATAAGACCTCTGAATTTCAACATAAATAGTTAATTCAAAAAGCAATCAAAGTACGTTGTTTTTAAGACAACGGAGAAAAAGAGGATACGCTTTCAGTTCGGCGAAGGGAAGGTGCGGCCCAGACCCAAGACGGGATGAAAAGATAAACAAACGCAATCTGTGTCGGACTTTATTGAATGTGCATTTTGTTTCTATTTAGATAATTGAGTGAATATAAGAGCCATTTTGATTACTCTTTGACGCGAAAGCATTTTAGAGTCAATATACAAATCCAACGTCTGTTAGGTCATTAGCAGCTCAGAAGTTCACCTCATCAGCACCATGTAAACTCCGTCACTTCGTCCCTAAAATATACATAATGGAAAGTCTTGGATAAGTTGGCTTTGGAAGAGCACTGTAATCACAGTTTTACTATCTTATTCGGAAGCGTTAAATACAACTGTGATCTTACTGTGACCTTACATTCATCGCAAATATGTGAATGATCTAACGATATGGTCAAAGGATAATATTACTTTTATGAGTGTAACTGAAAAAGGAACCTTTATAGACAGCCAAGTTCGTATTCATATAGAAAAAAAAAATAATGAACCTCGATCAACCTGACATTAAGCATGAAAAGCTATTGAATTATTGGAAACAAAAACAAAACAAAAATGGAAACACCTGAACGCAAAATCAGTTACTATTATAAAATCGTTACATTTTAATTTATCGTTCAGAGCTCACCGGTTTCCTTCCACGTGCAGGATAACTACACTTACGTCCCTATCTCCCAACATTCCCTTTTATCAAGCACATGAACATAATTACTTTTGCGAGGCAAAAATATTTTCCAATTTTGCTAACTGTAAAGCTACATCTCTTCGACTTTGAGATCTTAACACTGGAGAGACGTTACTACAGTATCATTCATATTCTCATACTTTTCGTTCAATGTCATTCGTCTGGTTGTTCTTTTACCTGCCTACCATATCCTTCATACTGTTTTGTTTTGTCATTTTCATGGAAACACTGTGAGCTCAGATAAATTGATAACAAAGTTCGTTCCGAAAACCTCTATTTAAAGACATGACCTAAAATGTCTTTTAATAGCCTTATGTTGAATCTTGAACACAAAACCAATCGTAACAAGCATGATTATATCCCTCTGTGGTAAGTGTAAGATATAAACTTTCATGAAGCGTAACCACATCATTCCCCGCCATCAGTTAACTTTACGCTACGCATCTTTACACTTGGAACGGTCATTAAAGAAACACCAAGCACCTATTTTCTTTCCCTTTTCACTATCATGAGTTTTTATGGTAACTAAGGGAATAGAAAATGGAATTACTGAAAGTAAAGATGATCAAAATTACCTAAGTGCCTTCAGTTAGGGTTGGGAGACCATTCCTCGTTATTTGTATAGTTGAGGAGAGCAATGTATAATTGATTACCAATGTCCATGCGCAAAATGTAGCCTCCTATTAAAACGAAATATACTGAATGCATTAACACGAGAGCTCAGAGATAATAGTGTAAATGTTAATGGCACACGAGAGAATGTAATTTAAAGATTAAATGGATTTCAACCAAATGCGACTGAGTTTTTATCGGCTGTGCTACTTACATGATTACAGAAAGAAGATAAAAATCAATAGAGTAAATCCAAAATGCTATATTTACATCTAGTAAATTGGCATTATAAGATAAACCGTCTTTGCCTTTCTATTTTTAGAATTCTACCAGTAACAAGCAGTATACATTTCCCTTTTTATGATCTCTTGTTGTTGTCGTGGGGGTCAGGAGACCGAGACCACCCCTGCCTTGGACCACTAATTTTGCATGGTCTTTTCTTCTCCCCTTTCCTTCTCCCTCTCCTCTTTATCCCCTTCTTTTGTCCAATTACCGTAATCGTTAATTCAGTGTAGTGTGCTGTTAGAGAAGAAAATACCGTACTTATGATACTGGCGAAAGATGTGTTTATTAAATAAACTTTGTGCTGTCTATGTTTTATCCTATGAATGTACCCATTGCATAGTAAGTAATCTAGGGAGTATTTTAATTGCAAATTTCATTTCTGTTGCATATGGCATCTCCAAGTGTAAACGAGATTGCGAAAAAGACAGTTCAACGTCTCTTTCAATGCATCCGTAAACAGTGACGTCACTATAACCTTGACAATGCCACTTGTGTCAATATGATAATCTATGCAATGGGTACAGGGGTAAAGAAAGTTTTCAGAATAATTTTTATAACTTCAGCTGTAACCCCAATGGCCCTAATGCAGCCGTTTATACATACTATCTACACACCTTGCAACTTTATTTTTGTGATACGGAAGTATATTGATCGATTTATGAATAATAAACTGTATTTGGGTGAATATTGAACTAACATTGATTAATTCACTTTGAAACAAAAGTGAAGACACATACAGACTCAGACATACAAAATCCTACATATAAACATCAAATCAGACAAAGAAACCACACAGGAGTAAAAGTATTTCAGTATTTCCTCGAGTTCTAGAAAACGAAAGCGAGAGACAAATAATATAGAAAATAATATATAGAAATAAATAAATAAATAATGTATAGAAATAAATAAATGATATATAGAAAGAATTAGCAGAGGAGATGGAGGTAAAAGGGAAAAAAAAAATGAAAAACTGCAAGGTGCACATTACCTAGCAAACCACAAGATAATATTTAGGAAGCTATAAAAGGGGCCAGACTCTAAACAAGTGCTTAGCTTCGTTCACGTGTTCCGTCCGCTACCCAGGAGAAACTTCCGCCCATTACTACGACTGATGCAGAGGTAGTGGAAGCAGCACAGAACGATAAAAATAAAGTTGATAATAATGATGGCGGCATAATGATGATGATAATGGAAGTGATGAGAATATAAATCATAATAATACAGGCATCTTTGAGTGATGATGATAATGATGGAAGCAGAATAAATAGATGGAAATAAAGATGATAAATGGAGGCAATATTGAGCAATAATGATAATAATAATGGAAGTAGCATAGAAAGATAATAACAAAGATGACAATAATAATGACAGCAATATTGAGCAATAACAATAATGGAAGAAGTACAGAGCGATAATAATGAAAGCGAAAATAACAATGGAGACAAGATTGTGCGATAATAATGATAATGGAGGCAGCACAGAGCGACATTAACAAAGATAAGAATAATGGAGGCAGCATCGAGCTCAGCCTCTCAAAGATGACACGTACAGCCGTCCGAATGAATGCGCGACCACCCTAGCAGTATCAAGCTGGGGTTTTATCTGGTGGCTATAGTACATTCAGATATAACAGTATAAAGCTTGTCGTTAAATACGCATTGTTAAAAAGGGTCTGATCAAACCGTCTCTTATTGTAATATTGTCATGAAATGAAATGCATGATAAAGTATGAATGTTTCAAAGGATGAGTGTTTCAAAAATGAAAATCATGATCATAGATTAAACATATAAAAAACATTTTGATATTTTATACAACTGTCTTGTGTGTATATTTTCCCTTTCCATAGCTGTAGAAGTTAATTAGCATTTAACCTGATTGTTAGTTCACCCAAAGATTGGAAACAAAGGTTCTATTCTATATTTAGTTGTTCTCTCTTGTTCAGTCATGAAGCGGTGTAATATGTATGATTATGTTTCATTGATAATTTTACGTCCGCCAGGTAGCTGTAACCCTAACTGATACAAAACTGTGAAGGGGGAAGACAATACGAGACAATAATAACACATGTCACTTTGTAGCTATTGTAACTGTTAAAAGTATTTGTAGTTTAGAGAGAGTGAAGTTTTTGGCAGGAAAGTGTCAGATCATGTTTTCCTGCCTTTTTTTCTCTCTCTTTTGTCTTTCTTTATCTTCTTTCCATTTTTGGTGGGAAGACATCAATCGCCCAAATACGCCTAATTTACATATGACTTGACTATATGTGTCACACAGATGCTTCATGACTGAATGAATGGGAGACGAATGAACTATTACGTCAAAATTGTAATCAATGCGGAAACATACACAGGGAAAGACAAATATAGGCAGCAGGTGGTTATATCACATATTTATTAATTTATTTTATTGTATTTTATTATCACTATTTTCATTACCCATTAAAATTTCATGGAAACATTTGTCCTTTAGTGAAAGTAAGCTGCAATCAGTATAGCTAAGTGAGGGCATTAACATTCGAGTAGGTAATCAAGACAGGGAATGTAAAAAATATATGAAATATCAAAACATGAGAAACAGAGTTTGGCTATACTTTTTTAACACTTTTATTTAGCAACATAGTTTATGCTATTTTACCTGAATGCGCCATTGTTACCAGATAAAATTCTAGCTCGATAACCTTACGGTGGCTGTAAATTTGTTCCGCCAGCTGTACAACAATCTTGATAAAGAGGCATTATAGAATATCCAAAATGGCAATGCAAAGTTCCTCAACACCCGATGTCGATTCCACGGACATGGGAGGACAGAACCAAGACCCGGGAGAGGGCAGCATCACCGTCATTGGGGAAAGATTATTCACTCGCAAACAGAAAGGTCCGCGATGAGTACCAGAAACGCTTTGGAATAGGAACCAGGTCTTCTAAAGAGCGGTTTTGTTGAGAACTTAGAATAATATATATCAAAAAGAG